TTTTTTTTTTTGAGATAGGATTTCTCTGTGTAGCTCTGGCTGTCCCGGATCTCACTTTTTAGACCAGGCTGACATCAAAGATCCACCTGTCTCTGCCTCCCAAGTGCTGGGATTAAAGACATGTGCCACCACGGCCCGGCCTATAATGCACTCTTACTCAGATTGCTTAACTCTAATTGTGAATACTTTAGCTATCCTAGCTTTAGTTCACGCAGAAGAGACACAGAAAAGTGCCCTCATCATTAAGGAAACCCTGGACAGACTAAAGATCTGAATTCTGTCTGAAACTGTTATGCACTGTGGTGTTATGCAGAGAACAAGTACCATGGCTGCTGAAACTGGAGAATAAACCACACCTAGCCAGCAGGTTCCTTCTCTGATTAGGGTTGGCATCTGTGGTCCATGATGTCTCTATGGTGGCAATTTCTAGTGTGCGCATCACAGTAGAAGGCCATCAGGAAGCCTGTTGGCATTTCTCCAGAAAAAACTGCCATACAGAGGGAACCTGGAGGCTCCTTCTGATGGTTCAGTGTCAAAGTCTTTATCAAGTGATGAGTGAGGTACAGGAGGCTTATGATTTTTTTCTTTTCTTTTCTTTTTCTAAAACAGTCCAAAAAATGTGAATTTTAATTATTTTAAAATACATAACACTCCTACACAGAAGAACAGTTGGGGCTCTGCTGCTAAGTACTAGTATAAACAGCACGGGAAATGCATATTTATGAGGATGCTTTGCATCTGGATTAAAATATTAAAAAGAATATAGAACATAACAGTATTAATACCATGCAACAAGGTGGTGGCACGTGCCTCTCATGCCAGTACTCAGGAGGCAGAGGCAGGCAAGTCTCTGAACTCAAGGCCAGCCTGGTCCGCAGAGTGAGTTACAAGACAGCCAGGACTACAGAAACTCTGTCTTGAAAAATAAAAACAAATAAATAAATAAATAAAATAAAACTGATATTAACACCTAAATGCAGAGCTATATTATAGTCTAGTAACCTATGTGTCATGATTTAATGGGAAAATAAAATTTAAATATATTCAGTTCAGGAAAAAAAGAGATTTATAAGATGAAAGTTCCCTATGGTGGTACACACCTGGATTCCCAGCACTTGGGAGGTGGAGGCAGGAGGAGAAGGCCAACATTAGCTCCAGCTAACAGCGAGTCGGTGGCCAGCCGGGGCTACATGAGACTTTGTCTCAAAAACAATAATAACAACAACAAACACCTAAGCCAGAACAAAACCAAAGTGACATGTGGGAACATTATTTTCCAAATTAAGGCCAGATTAGAAATAGGTGTCAAAATGGAGTGTCTCCTTGAATGATGAAGAAAATCATATATTCAGAAAGCTTCCAAGGGGAGAACTGAGAAAGGATGCATTCACACAACACACAGACATCAACATGATGTCGCTGAAGCGAGACACTGGAAAATTGAAGAGAAGTGCTAAAGGGCACGTGGTAAATGGATATTTGTTTTGGGGACAGGGCTTCAGTTAGCCCAGGCTGGCCTCCAGCTCACTGTATAGTCAATGCTGACCTTGACCTCCTGACTGTCCTGCCTCCATCTCTCAAGTGCTGTGATTTCAGAATACGCCACTATACCCAGTTTACATGGTATTGAGGAATGAAACCCAGGAGTTTGCGCATACGAGGCAAGCAGTCTTCCAAGTGAGCCAGTATTCCAGCCTGATGTTTACAATCATATTGGAACTGTAGCCTCCATCAAGAGGCGCATTTACAAAGACCTCTGGGAGGACATTCCTGCTTGCTCGGTTCTGGGCTCAAGATTCCTAGTAAAATGCCCAGCAGTTCATTTTCTGCTCATGTGGACATGGACAGTCTCGTCTGTTAAAAAAATAAAAATAAAAAAGATAACAACCACGTCATTTACATGGGCTTGTTGTGAGAACTGAGTGAGTTCATGTCAAACACCTTTAAAAAGTCCCTGAGTTCAGTGGACATGAAAGTGCTGGCTGCTAGGAATGTTGCTGGTTGTAAAACATTGAGTAGGTGGTTACAGAAATCACGTAGTGTGATCGCTCCGTGTTGGCTTCTGTAAATCAATACAGCCCCCAGGGAACTTTATCAGCAGACTTGGAAAGAGAACACACTTAATTCCTCACATCCAAATTCTTTAAACATAGCACTGGACAAAAATGAAATCAAACCAACAGTCAGCCTGGATTAAGGAAGTGTTCGGTCACGGTGTTCCACATGGCTGTTGCTTCTGTTTAACCCATGCAGGGGTATCACCAAAACCTAGTACCTTTTTCTTGGCAAAGTCAGAGGGGTTTTCAACAGTAAAATCACATGTGATTCTGGATGCTGAGGATTTTTGCCCAAAATTACATGAATATTTAATATTCATTTCAACATCCCCGTTAAAATATGATGTGTTGATTTTCAGTCGGTGTCACAGAGGCCTTCTTGATGATGGTACTGTGACTCTGTGGGATCAGCTCTTCTTAGGTCTCCCCAGCCAAGCCGGGGTTGCAGGACTAGCTCTTGGAGAAAGGGTGTGGTGGGTGAAGGGACAACAGACATTTTGGTAAAGGCAAATGCCTTGTATTTCACAGGGATTTCCTGCTCAAACCCTTTCGTGGCTTCTTTTTATTTCTGTTTATAAAAATGCTTTAAAGTGTTTCACTAACGTGATACTGAACTGGGGAGATGGTGGACACATGAGCAGTGCTTGCTGCACAGCGTGAGGCTATGAGTTCAGATCCACAGCACCATGTAAAAAGTCAGACATGGTGGTGTGGCTATAACCCAAGATCTGGGGCAAGAGACAAGTTCATCATCCTTACGGCTGCTGGTAGTCTAGCCTAATTGATGAACTCCAGGTTCAGTTGGAGTAGTGGTTCTCAAATTTCCAAATGCTATGACCCTCTAGTACAGATTTTCATGATGTAGTGATCCCCACCCATAAAATTATTTTGTTGCTACTTCATGTCTGTAATTTTGCTACTGTTATGCATTGTAACATAAATATCTGATATGCAACCCCAGTGGGTTCCCAACCCACAAGTTGAGAACTGCTGAGTTAGAGTCTCTCTGCCTCAAAGCAATAAGATGGAGAGCAATTGAGGGAAACACCCAGTGTTGTCTTCTGACTTCTCTATGCATGTGCACTCATGTGAGTGTACATGCACGCATACGTGTATACATGCGTACACATGTATTTATTTCTAGGAGCATCGGGTGTTTCTTTGAGACCGAGTGCTATAAAACTCACTGTTGACACCAACTGACAAGCTGTGAGTCCAGCTTGGATGTTAGTAGTCAGGTGCTCCACCCTCACGTCCTAAAACAATCAAAGCCTGAGTTATTAAAACGTCTTTGGAAACTTGGAACCCTTAGATCCAAGTTTGTGCACATAGGGCCAGCAGGGAAGCAAACGTGTGAGCTAGAACTCCCAGGAGCCTGGATGAGACATAGATGTAAAAACTGGAAACATGTTCATGTTTATGAATACGCTTTAGACTTTGCTTTGGTGTGGACACAGTAGGATCTGCGTTACTCTTGTGCCTCTTCATGAGGGAGCCCTCTTACCTCTGTTGAATTCTCAGTGACTGAGGGCGGAGTTGATGCTCTAAAGAACTCTGCTGAGATTCCTCGAGTCATCCTTTCATTCTCCCTCTTGGCAGTAATCCTTGCAAAATCTATCTTCATATTTATGTGACATGTATCAAGGAGAGCAAGCTGGTTCCCTATTGTACTTTCTCACTGCCTGTGACACTTGAAGAGGTATGCGTCAGTCTACCGTGGCGATACAAGGAACCAACGCAAAATGTAAGGCTGACTGGGAAAGGATTAGGTAAGGGTGGGCTGTGCTGTGCAGCCAGCCCAGTGAACGAATGAGCAAATGGTCCTTCTCAAATACAACTGGGGTACAAAAGACTCTGAGATTAAAACTCAACAAAATTTGGGCTAATGTACAGCAGAAAACAAGTAAAGACAAACAGCTCACTTTGAAACAGTCCCAGGGGTTTTGATGTAAGTTTGCTCTCTGGAAGGGACAGCATCAGAGATTTCTAAGTTCTCTTTAAACTTGTTTTGATCATTGATTTTCTTCTTTCAAGGGCACAGCACGTGCTGTGAATGCCATGAGCATAAGATGTGTACTCTGCTATGTGTTCAACTCATTTTCTTTCTCTACGTGGAGCAGTCACCCAGGTGCAGTGGCCTACTGGGATTAGCAAGCTCTGGCCTTTCCCCAGAAATCTGTAATTAGAAAAGAGGTTTAGGAAAATAGCGACATTGATGATCCCAGAGCAAAGAAAGAAAGGTAAGGACAAATGTATTGGCTTCTGAACTCTAATCATGTGATGGCCAATCTTCATTGTCAACTTGATTGGCTTTAGAATCACCATAGAAACACACCTCTGGTGGCTCAGATAATCTTTCTTAATGTTTTCTTCTTCCTCACATTTGTGCAAAAACAGATTTCTGAATATTTTGAAAAGTTGCTCAAAGTATCACGTTTGGAGTAAACTGGAAGAGGGTGTTGCTCACAAAGACTATCAAACAGTAGGGCTTGGAGGGATGCAGCTCATTGGTAGAGCACGCATTTGGTATGCACAAGGCCCTGGGTTCAATCTCTAACACCACAAGCAACCAACCAAAGAACAAACCCAGCAACAAAGAGTATATAAAGCTTCAGAATTTCTTTGACTTCAAAATATATCTTGCTAAGTGTATTTACCTAGGAAGGATTTAGGCAAGTAAAAAATAACCATAGTTCTAAAATGCGTTTTTTACTATATTATTGGGTAGTCACACAACTGGACAGAAATGGTGAGGCAGGGGCTGAAGGCATAGCTCAGTGGTTAAGAGCCTTTGCTGCCAAATTCCATTCCCCACAGCCACACATTGACACACAATGCCCTGTAACCCCAGTTCCAAGGGATCCAATGCCCTCTTCTGCCTCTGTAGGCACTTGGCATGTAATGTGGTTCACATTCATGCACGCAAGTGTTCACACATGCATGTAAAATAAAAACAAATATTTTTTTAATAAAATTTAATAAAGTATGACAACTTAGGTGAGGCTTCTCGTCACACGTGTTTAAATGGGTCAGATTCTTCCTCTACAGGTCTGTTTCATGAGACTATTTACTTGAAGTAATGAAGCTTAAACATTGCTTTATATAGGAGATCTTTCCATTTTCTGATATCATCTTCAATTTCTTTCTTCAGAGACTTAAAGTTCTTGTCATACAGGTCCTTCATTTGCTTAATTAGAGTTACCCCAAGGTATTTTATATTATTTGTGGCTATTGTAAAGGGTGATGTTTCTCTGATTTCTTTCTCATCCTATTTATCATTTGTATACAGGAGGGCTACTGATTTTTTTTTAATTAATCTTATATCCTGCCATATTATAGAACTGGTGATCAGATGACCAGTTCTATACCTAACTGTCATCATAGAGCCCTCATCCAGTGACTGATGGAAGCAGATGCAGAGAGATTCACGGCTAGGTCCCAGGCGGAGCTCCAGGAGTCCAATTGACGAGAGAGAGGAGGGATTCTATGAGCAAGAGATATAGAGACTATGATTGGAAAAAGTACAGAGACAACTAGCCAAACTAGTGGAGACCAATTGCTGAGGAGCCCCCATGGAACTGGACCAGGCCCTCTGGATAAGTGAGACAGTTGTTTAGCTTTAACTGTTTAGGGGGCCCCAGGCTCTCTGGCCAGCCAACAGATTTTCAACCCAGTGAGTCTCTGTCTCAAAAAACAAAGTGGACAGCACCTGAAGGGTGACACCTGAGGTTGAGCTAGCCTCTACATGCATGTGCACATGTCTGCACATACATATATGTGTACACACACACACACACACACACACACACACACACACACACACACCAGATATAAAATATAACCCAAACCCTGTATGTCAAGGGCAGAGGAGATGGGGGAACATGAAAATGTTCACCTCAAATATTCACCACTTAATCAGGTGTCCACAAATGAAGTCTAAAGAACTCAGGGAACTCAAGCCCTGCCTAGGCCTGTCCCTTAGGCTTTATGAACCACAGGAGTGACTGTGGGCATAAGATCATGTTTAATCTGCTTTTGATGCAGCTTATTCAAAAAAATGAGGAATGTAGAACTCATTTCTTTTCCTATTTAAAAATTGCTTTACAGGCATTAGTGGGCAGATTCCCACATCAGTAGATAAGATATCCTTTTGAACAACGCCAGCACTCTCCAGGCCTCTCTTAAGCCCTCGTTATCCGATAGTGTCTCTCTCCCTCCTTGCCAGCTTTGGGCAAAAGTGACCGGTGACTCAGGTGCTCGGGAAGCTTCTTCTTCCATAACTTCTATGTGAACATTGTGTGTGTCTACGGAATTACTAATTAAACCAGGTCTCGGTGCGTGAATCCGGAACTTAATTAGGGGAGCTGACTTTTAAAGTAAATTATTTCTCCAAATTATGTATTCCATAATAATATTTATCCCACTGAGCCGCCATTCTAAGAATTTTAATCATAATCTCCTTTTCAAAGTAAGACTCTTTCTCCAGCCTTTTTTATTAAGCCAACTATTTATATGAAGTGCTTGGCAAGCAGGAACAAATCCCAAACTCTACTTAGCAAATAACAACAGCCAAACCCTCTTGATCCGTAGTTAAGGCTTCTCAAGCCTTGCTAATCCAACCCAAGTTTACATTTGGGGTGTGTGTGTCTGTGTGTGCACTCATGTAGGTGTCTCTCTCTCTCTCTCTCTCTCTCTCTCTCTCTCTGTGTGTGTGTGTGTGTGTGTGTTTCCAAATGCAGAGACCTGAAGACGTGACTGACTGTCCTTTCAAACAAATATTGAGTCAGAAAGAGTGTGGGCAAAATGGAAACCATTTTGAAGTTGAAAGGGATGTACATATTTCAACTTTCAATTCTTTCCCTCCACATTTTGTCATCTATTATGTGATATTTTAAAATCTTCTAGCAATCATGAGATTGCTTAGTC